TTTTATTTTCCAAATGTATCACTGGCTGGGTTTGTTTTGTCATGTCTCGTAACTGAAAGTTCAAGCTGACTTGGTTTTGGCTGTATATGATTTTTTTAGATTAAATTATATTAAAAACAATATTTGTTATGCGTCCATACTAGTGTATTCACCATACCCTAGATAAATTATAATAATTCACCAGTTGTGACACCACTCATTTGCCATACGGATGCACCATGATTTTGAAACTGGTGTACTCACAATAACATAATAATTCATCTTCACAGAAACAAACATGACATCAATTTGGTTTTAATTTAATTGTTTCGTGCGCAGCTACTGAACAACTAGGCAAAGGTCTCTTTATTTTTTTTTGTTAGGCTTGGTTCAAAAGATTTGTTTCATGGTTAGTTAGGAAGTTAGTGAATCGCACTCCCAGCTTATGTTTGGGTATTCCTTTCATTAAACATCTATTCAAACCTACTAGTATTTAATACTGCAGGCAATGTCCCACTGACTTCTCTACAGTTGATGTCCAGTTCACCATATGTTCCTGTTAAATTGGTCTAAATGGATGACTCAAACTTGTATATATACTGTTGAATTCCAACAGCCTAGTCTTTATTATGATCTTACCACGAATAATACATACATATATTAGTATGTGCACATTGTATATGCAATGGTCAATCCATGAATAGAATTGTTGCCATTATCCCAATTTTCTGAATAAAACTCTAGAAATGTCTGTCTATGCATAATGCTGTTATGAGTTATTAAAATATTATCTACATATGCTTTTATTTTGTTTTAGTATGATTTCCAAATTACTTTCTAAATTAAAATTAATAAATCAATAGAAGAAAATTCACTGATTTTAAGAGCAATATTTGTTACGTGTCAATACTTTTGCATTCATCACACCCCCGGAAACAGCTGTGCTACCGTCCACAAAATTCACCATATGTGTATACGTAACAATACGTAACATCAGATCCCATATTTAAATAATGTTTCCATATTCATTGTTTAAGCGTTGCACTAGAGACTGACGAGACAAAACCCTTACATACAAACAGGTAAACAAATATTTTTTATCTTACACTTATAAACTATATAAATTATTTGGCAGTATTGACATTTGTCATAAGTAGTAATGAATTTGATTCGTTGACTTGATTCAAATATGTTTAGTTCTTTTTTTCAAAATGAAACGCATACCCACTTACAGCTCAGATGCGAGGCGGTGTCTTCATTATTCATCGGGATAGTGTACGAAAACCCGCGAATACAGCAATTGCCGCCAGAACTAAGAATATATCTTACACTGGCAGATGTTCTGTGGAGAATGAATTTTTCGAAAGAGTTGTTATGAGTTCAACTTCTACAAATTTACTAAGTTTTCCCCCACTGAACACCAACGCTCGAAGTATTTCGAGGGGCGTATTTCTAGCTGACAAACAAAAACCATAAACGCATGCTTTTTTTGGTTCATTTAGCCACCTTCAAAAACCTAATATTACAGGTAAGAACGAAAAAAATCCGTCGAGAATAGAACGGTAGATGGTACTTCGATATTTATTTTAGGGTTGGGGTAAAGGGATAAAATAAACAGTCATAACAAGTAAGAACATGGCAAGTGAGCTACTATCGTAGCTGATGTTTACAGCGGGCACAAAAAAACGATTATCGAAACATCGGACACGGTAGTATGCTTTTTGTAGATACAAAAACATTATTGTAACATTTGGAAGAAGCCTAGCACGAGCTGAGAACGAATAAGCAACAGTAATTGTAAATTCAGTTGATTAGTAGTAGTTTTGTTTTAGTTCCATGGGTGTGCGTCGACTATAATGAACATTGCTTCACACTGGCCGCTCTCTCTAATGAAAATCCGTGTTGAAAAAAGTAATTGCATTGTACGCAAGTGAAGGGACAAGTGTTTTGTTTTGTAAAAGCACTAAACCACCCTAGACGCAATATTTTAGTTCATCTCCCTTGTCAAAAAATTATCTCAATGGCATCTGGCATGTTGCTTTCTTAACCCGACACCGTGACGTGTACTATGGACTTCCTGTTTATGTGATAAAAACATTCTAAAAAAGCATACTGATTCTGGTTTTATCGACGTTCACTTGAAAAAAAAATATGTTCAGTTGCGCTCAGTTGAGTACTTGAGTAAAAGCGAAGAGATATCTTCTACATTATCTTCGGTAAATAACAGCTTCAATGGAATGTAAAATTTATAACTTGTAGAAATACAGGCTGTAATCTGCGACGACGGACAGCGGGTACAAGATATTTACATACACCTAACTTTCATGGTGTCAACAAGGTGTTTATGACGCATAACTAGCATTTGAAGGCTAAATATCTATCAGCCACGAAACGAAAACCCGCGAGTACAGCAATTGCCGCCATAACTGAGAATAATTCCTACACTGGCAGATGTTCTGTGGAGAATGCACTTTCCGAAGGAAACTCTAAAAATATACATTGAACTGAAGCCGGTGATGGGAGATGATTCAGAAAAGACTCTATGCACTACATGCGATTAGCGGGATTTCTTGGTAAATCAACAACAATGTTATTTAACAATTCTTTTGTAATATAGTTTTGTAAATTAAATAGTTTGAAACGTATTATTACGGTGTGTTTATTGTCTTTCCTTACCATCACCATTACCTGACCTGATGTTAGTTTTCATCTCACATCAGTCAGGACGTGGTGCATTGATTGTATCAGACCCTTCCTATGTCACTTTATTCACACAAGCAGTCAACCGATGTAACCCCCAGCTGCATTCCGTCCGCCTTATTACAAAAGTTACAAACTAAAATATTAAAATTCAAAAAGGTCAGCCAATCGCTGCAGTCGTTGGCACGATCACGTGATTACCAGGGATGTGTCTCACCTTCCTTTTTTACATTACGCCTAGGGTGTATTGTGTAACGGAGTGAACTGATTGTACCAAGCATTCTGACACAGCGAAATACATTGGTAATCGTGCCAACAGGTTGGTACGGTTTATTATCTGTTTTTGTTTGTTTGTTATGAGTTCAACTTCTACAAATGTACTAAGTTTTCCCCCACTGAACACCAACGCTCGAAGTATTTCGTCCGCCCTATTACAAAAGTTACAAACTAATATATCAAATTCAATAGGCGATCAACCAATCGCTGCAGTCGTTAGCATGATCACGTGATTACCAGGGATGTGTCTCACCTTCCTTTTTTCATTACGCCATGGGTGTATTGTGTAACGGAGTGAACTGATTGTACCAAACATTCTGACACAGCGAAATACATTGGTAATCGTGCCAACAGGTTGGTACGGTTTATTATCTGTTTTTGTTTGTTTGTTATGAGTTCAACTTCTACAAATGTACTAAGTTTTCCCCCACTGAACACCAACGCTCGAAGTATGAGTTCAACTTCTACAAATGTACTAAGTTTTCCCCCACTGAACACCAACGCTCGAAGTATTTCGAGGGGCGTATTTCTAGCTGACAAACAAAAACCATAAACGCATGCTTTTTTTGGTTCATTTAGCCACCTTCAAAAACCTAATATTACAGGTAAGAACGAAAAAAATCCGTCGAGAATAGAACGGTAGATAGTACTTCGATATTTATTTTAGGGTTGGGGTAAAAGGATAAAATAAACAGTCATAACAAGTAAGAACATGGCAAGTGAGTTACTATCGTAGCTGATGTTTACAGCGGGCACAAAAAAACGATTATCGAAACATCGGACACGGTAGTATGCTTTTTGTAGGTACAAAAACATTATTGTAACATTTGGAAGAAACCTAGCACGAGCTGAGAACGAATAAGCAACAGTAATTGTAAATTCAGTTGATTAGTAGTAGTTTTGTTTTAGTTCCATGGGTGTGCGTCGACTATAATGAACATTGCTTCACACTGGCCGCTCTCTCTAATGAAAATCCGTGTTGAAAAAAGTAATTGCATTGTACGCAAGTGGAGGGACAAGTGTTTTGTTTTGTAAAAGCACTAAACCACCCTAGACGCAATATTTTAGTTCATCTCCGTTGTCAAAAAATTATCTCAATGGCATCTGGCATGTTGCTTTCGTAACCCGACACCGTGACGTGTACTATGGACTTCCTGTTTATGTGATAAAAACATTCTAAAAAAGCATACTGATTCTGGTTTTATCGACGTTCACTTGAAAAAAAAAATATGTTCAGTTGCGCTCAGTTGAGTACTTGAGTAAAAGCGAAGAGATATCTTCTACATTATCTTCGGTAAATAACAGCTTCAATGGAATGTAAAATTTATAACTTGTAGAAATACAGGCTGTAATCTGCGACGACGGACAGCGGGTACAAGATATTTACATACACCTAACTCTCATGGTGTCAACACAGGTGTTTATGACGCATAACTAGCATTTGAAGGCTAAATATCTATCAGCCACGAAACGAAAACCCGCGAGTACAGCAATTGCCGCCATAACTGAGAATAATTCATACACTGGCAGATGTTCTGTGGAGAATGAACTTTCCGAAGGAAACTCTAAAAATATACATTGAACTGAAGCCGTTGATGGGCATGATTCAGAAGAGACTCTATGCACTACATGCGATCAACGGGATTTCTTGGTACATCAACAACAATGTTATTTAACAATTCTTTTGTAATATAGTTTTGTAAATTAAATAGTTTGAAACGTAATATTACGGTGTGTTTATTGTCTTTCCATATCATCACCATTACCTGACCTGATGTTAGTTTTCATCTCACATCAGTCAGGACGTGGTGCATAGATTGTATCAGACCCTTCCTGTGTCACTTTATTCACACACGCAGTCAACCGATGTAACCCCTAGCTGCATCCCGTCCGCCCTATTACAAAAGTTACAAACTAATATATTAAAATTCATTAGGCGATCAACCAATCACTGCAGTCGTTGGCACAATCACGTGATTACCAGGGACGTGTCTCACCTTTCTTTTTTCATTACGCCATGGATGTATTGTGTAACGGAGTGAACTGATTGTACCAAGCATTCTGACAGAGAAATACATTGTTTGTATTTCCTCACTTGGTAATCGTGCCAACAGGTTGGTACATTTTATTATCTGTTTTTTGTTTGTTATGAGTTCAATCTCTACAAATGTACGTTTTCTCCCACTGAACACCAACGCTCGAAATATTTCGAGGGGCGTATTTCCGGCTGATTCTGCTTCTATCGATGGTCAATTGAAAAAATTATGTTCATCATTTTACTCAACATTTCTTTCGCGGAACTATATACGAGTATTTTTCTTGTTTTAAACACATTCTCTCCCGACTTTTAGCAAGATTTAATTTAGTTGTTAGAGAGGGACTTTGCAACATCCCAATGCACTTCCCTAGACGCGTTGTAGACGCAATAAAATTACATACGTGGTGACAGTTACAGTAAGTCTCAGAAGTATTGGGGCAGCCAATTTACAAACTCGCTAGCGAATTGGCTAACTGCTTGGGTTTTGACTGAACAGTTGGCTTTCAAATCTCGCTGGCGCCGTCTTGTGGTCACGCCCACTCTGTATAACAGCAGGGGACGGTCGTCATACTTTAGGAGCTAATCAGCCACAGTTGGATGACGATTTCGCTTTCGCCAGGGAAAGGGTTTTATGTGTAATGAGGTATTCGTATACAAGGGATTGACCACACAAAAAAGATTTTGTTAGCGGTTGGCTAATGTTACCCGACGGGTCATTTATATGTGAAAGTTTGAAATTTTCTTCCTGATTTGTAGGAAACATCAACTTGTCTCTTTATTCAGTTTCAAGCAGTGTTCAAGAAGGCTACTCGCATATAGTAAATATCGGCAAGCAGTTAGCCAATTCGCTAGCGAGTTTGCAAATTGGCTGCCCCAATACTTCTGAGACTTGCTGTAATCAAAACATCAGACAAGGAATGCCTTGGTGTTTGGCCTCGAGGAACGAGGGGTAGTTGGACTATTCAATTGCTTTGGTCCGGTGTTTTGATTAATTAACTGTCACCACATAGTCTTGTATGTAACTTTATTGCGTCTACAACAGTCATTGGAGCGTCTAAGGAAGTGCCTGGGGATGTTGCAAAAGTCTCTCGGTAATTACCTACCTATCGGGTGCGGGAGTTAGGTGTATGTATGCGCTCTCTGTAACCATTGTTAGCTCAAACAAAGCAGTGTACAACTTATTTTGTTGTTTTATTTCTATGCAGGATATCACTTTTGTTTTGGTCTTTGGCTTACTCTATAATGATAACGTACAAAAAAAAAAAAGAATTGACAGTACATGCAGACTCGATTTTAGATTTTTTTGTGACATTTGAGCCAGGAGCTGCTTACATGGATATAATTACCGAAAACATGTTTGTTCAGTAATGCGAGTTAGGCTGCATGTGAATAACATTTGCTTTATTTGAACTAAGCTGACATACCAAATAAATAAACTTTACAGTGTGTACAATTGTAGTTAAATTTAATTTTACTTATTTATTAAAATCCCCTTGCTCCCTTTCATTATAAGTCTTAACATATGTATTAAAAACTCAAATTTGTGCAATGTATAATTTGGCAATGGCTGATTCCTTTCTCATTACATTGAAGAATATTAGTATATGAAGAGTCAACTAGTTTCTTTTTCAGGATTGGATTTTGAATCATGCTGTTGGACTAAGTCACATTACAAGGGCCTAGCATCGCTTCTGAAGACATTCACAATATAACAGTTTAAAGTCAACTTACTAGATTGTGTAATTACTGTTCTCATATTAACATAGTATACACATGAGTAAGTTCTAGGTTTCACTCGGTAACTTGCAACATATAACACACATTGTTTCTAACCCAACCGATATCTTTAAGGACATTGGTAATGGTTTTAAAAATAAAATGGCTTTAGTTGGTTGTCTTCATTCATTCAGGCTAATTCCTTTACTTTCCATCAGGATATGGTACATTTCAGTAACAAACACATTTTTAACCACATCTATTGCAACAAAACGTGTAATTCTATTGTCCTTTTGCAGATTTGTGTTCTTGTTTTCCCTTCTTTTAGCTGGCATTTACCATATACAATAAAATGTTGGATAACCAACTTATGATTTTGGGCATAAATCATACTTTTGAAACATATGGTAATGTGTGGCACTGTTCTCATTAATACCAATTTGAAAGTTATTTTGCAATATCACAGTAAATTGATTCCATAAACTAGTAAGTTAAAAATTCATGAAGAGTATTATGTAACATTTGGCTATCACAATCAAATATAAAATTGATGAAACTTCTGGTCTTCATCACCCAGTTTGTACTTAATGTAGATGACAACATACATGAATATTTTCTTCTCAAATTCAAATGCACAATACATTAATTGTGTGATAAGCTCAACATTTGAGTAGTTCCATCCAAGGGTTTCTATTAGCCATTTTTCAATTATGGATGTTATGATTCTCGACAATGTTTCTGTGAGAGATGCAAAGCTAGCAGAACCATTGTTGAAATCCATGATTGTACGACTGATCAACGAATTGTCGCATACGACTTATTTACCACTTCCGTGTCACTGAGAATGTTCTAGTACCGTACTGTATGGGTGGGATATTCTAGATGTTTTTTAGAAACTGGTTGAGTAGGTAATAGAACACTGTAGAAGGCAATATAAGGTAATGGAACGTTCTAGAAATTTATAGTAAATTCCAGACTCATTATGTATGCTGATGTAATGGTCTATTTATAGACAGTGTGGGTATATATATGGGAGTTGTTCAGCACTGAGTTCAGATCGGAGATCTCGTTGAATTGTATTGGAGTTTAAGTATCTAGTTATTGGAGTAGTGAAGTTTTACCACGTTATTGTACTTGATGTTTACAGAGTATAATAATACCAGTACCAGTTGAAACCTCATCTGTTGGCTCCGTGTTCGCATGTTATCATCGCCGCCAGGGAAGTCCTTATGTTACTGTTGCCATTTTGGTATTTGAAGCATCACACCTGTACTATACCAATTACGGTAATATTACGTTGCGTGTGACAAGAATGAAGCCTATAGATAATTTATTGTTCGTGACTTGTTTCAAGATGATATCAGGTCTGATGTACCCAATGTAGTTGAAGACTTTCCGTTAACATGTCTATTGTCATATTAGGATTGCTTGAAACGGGGTGAGCTAATGACAATTTACGGAGATAAAGTAATTTTGTACATCATGGTTTAGATTGTTTGTTAAATTGTCGGATATTTCTTCAACAATCAATAAATCAATTGGAGAATAGGTACCATCGCATTTCAACAAGTCTACAAGTCTTTTGTATACAGTTCGTGGTTACTGAAGGATTTCAGATGTAACACTTCTGTTTAGTGGATATTTGTGAAAAATTGACTAGAATACTATGACGCCATGTTGAAAACTGATAATCTTTATTCATGACCTATCAATGACATAACATTGATTAACAAATGAACATCGTTACAAGCATGAATACATACATTATTTCATCCCTTCTGAGTTTGTCACTGAGCGCTGCCTGCATTCGAAATGACAAGACCATGCTTTGACACGTGGAAAATTCAAATGTATTCAAAATATGACCAATGAGTGGAGTTTATTTGAAAAGACCATTCAGCAAATGAGGCTTATTGGTCATATCACTCAACATCCAATCGTATTCGATGAACGCAGATGAGCTTTACTAATTTGAATCTCAAAGAGCATTCTAATGCAAATTTGAAGTGGCACAATCTCACACACAACAGTCACTAAAAATCTCTTGCAATTTAATTGTTTTATGCATGGGGTGCGTGGTATAAGCCGTTAATCGCAACTCGTTGTCGTGCGTTTACAACTATAAAGGCCACAGTTTTTGTCAGCATCTTGTAAACACACGAGACCGAAGGCCATATATGTGATCTTAAGTAAACAATTATGATACATTATTATATGGTTATATCAACAATAGAATAAATGTTGTGACGGGTCAGAATAACTATTGATACAAAGAAATACAAAGGAAATCTGAAAGACACCAATTACTATATTACGTTAATTTATTTTGTAACGCAGAAAGTATGACACCAGGCAGATATGAAGTCACCGTGCGTTCTTTTAATTTCCAATATGAGCAACTATGTCTATGAAAGTTAACACGACTGAAACCTAAATACATACAATAAATAGACAAGATTAATACAAAGTAAACGGAGGTATGGAGATCATAATTCCATGTAGAAACCATGATATCAAATACATTTAACTACTATGTAAGTACTGAATGTACGAACTACACAATAAACTGTATCATGCCTCTCAATAGAGACACATAGAGACTTCTTTTTCTTGCATAAATATAAATAAATAACATCTAAATTGTGATAAATGCGAGTTGCAGAATTAATATTGCACTAGAATAAAGCGTATATAAACGCACTCCAACCAGTACAATTCAGCGACGCCCTATAATTACAGAATTTCTTTTTGCACGCAAACACCTACAATAATTTAGAACAAATAAATAAGTCGTGATAACGGCTAAACTTGAATCAAGATAACCATGTGCACATTTAAACAATGCCACGAATTCTGGCCTGTTCTCATTTAGAAAAACAACTACAATTCCACAAATGTATACACAAATACAATTAGTAAAATGAATAATTCATAATAAGTTTAAGTATCCCGAGTCACTAATTACCACGATGAACAGGTGAAATAGGCTTTCAACATTGTTCCGTGCAAACAATTGGTATACGTGACGTACACGCTCCTACTCATGTTTTACAAGTTAACAAAATATACAATATTTACACTAAATTTGCTACAAAATACGTTTCAAATATTAGCTATCATCTTACCAAAAGTGAATTCATAAACGTGGAAAGTGGTTCGATTGAAAATACTGCACGAGTTGTCATCCCTCAATGGTTTCAAAGTAATGTTCATGCCTCAAATCTCAGTGAACAACTGACGAATGTCAAGTTAAGCACCACTGCGCATGCGCGAAGTAAATTATAAGGCTAATTATAATGTGAATACATTTGTCACAATTTTAAGATTCTATATTGGTTAGCTGTTATACTTAACCCTCAAGATTGTTGCTTAAATAATCTCCCCCTAGAATATGGTTACTGTTTATAATGATTGATTGATATGAAGATCATTCAAAAATCACGTAGATACAGGTACAGCTGAAACTTTATCATTTTGGCAAGGCCATTTTTCTTCAATCTTTTTGCGACTTTTGAATTGTTAGATTGCCAGTTAATGATAAGACTAATTGACTTTGATAGGTTAATCGTTTTTTGTAAGTTTGTACAGCTATGGCGACAGAATGACCAGCTAACATTTTAATGGTTTAAAAATTACGCCAGGCTCCCGAGGCCATTCAGTAATCTTTGATACCCACCAAGTGTACACATTGTGGTTAAACATACTGGGCCTATTCACAAGTTCGAGTGGGAAGTAACAATATTGGCTATGACCCAGATGAGTAAGAAAAAGCAGTTTTAGCCTTTGCCTCAGCGACCAAAGTTATTTGCCAATATAGCTCTCTCAGATTATTTTCTCGTCACTCAATCACCCTTTCTTATGTAATTATCCAACCAGCATTTTTAAATTAGCAACTGCCGGATTTCTATGATTAAAATTTTAAAAACCCTGTGCTTTCCAGAACGAGAAAATCCGAACGTCACTACCTGATACTGCAGACGAATTATACACTATACGTGTAACCATTTCAGAATGCGTCTAAATATATTAATAGCGTAGTGAATAATATATAGCATACAATTTGTTTAGTTGTATGCTATCACCTGTACCCCATTACCCAAATACTCTTCCAATATAGCTCAGTATGTGCCAAAATCATATTACAGTTTGCATTTACATGTAATTGTGAATTTTGGTGTATTTTTATTATGTTTTGCTGTTACGACAGCCACTAACGAATATATTCTCACATGTTCGTAATAGTGTTATATACGCTATTTCATTCTGCTTTTTTAGCGCATATACTTTAACAAGGAGTGCATTTGAGTTCGAATCTCTTCTATTGCATGTTTATATGTTCCTGTGATGATATCAACATGTTTGGTTGTATTCGTTCATACAGGTACCATGTATACCACTTTATTAACATTTTTATGGTGTTCGACCTTCCTTGTTTTTGGCTCTGATGGCAATACAGGTATGTATAAACTTTAACATATGTTTTGATTGAAATAAAATTCATATTTTTAAAGATTGTTTCCTTGGAACAATATTATGTAGTGTTAGATTTTGCCAAACATACCTAAAATGATTCATTTATTTAGAGAATGACGATGGCTGCTTTCTAGTTGGAGGCGTTTGCAAGCCAGCCACTAGCTGTGTTGGAACTACTCAAGCTGGAGTATGTAGTGACAATAACCATACTTGTTGCATTCCAAATGGTATTTATCCAAATCATAAATTATTCTATTTTGATTACTGCCAATGTTGAACAAATATTTTCAACACAATTAGTAATGATAAGATATGTTGGCAGGGCACGATCACTGTAAATCTCAAAGAGCTGTTTAAATGGCAATAATGTTTACTTTCTAGATGACCAAAAGTGTACAAATCGAGGAGGGATGTGTGAGGACGATTGTTCTGTTCAGAATAAAACAGAAGCAGAACCAGCAACTCTTTGCCTAAATGGGAAAAAATGTTGCGTTTTTGAAGGTGTGTGACTTGTACATTATGTATCCAATCCTTATGTATTAAAAATATGTCAATCATTTATTGCATGTGTGCATGCATGTAATATATTATTCTTTTATTTGTTTCAGTTGTTGAAAGGACATGTCTCGACTGTATTTGTCTGGTAGAAGGATTTGAATGTAACATTCCAAATCCCCTGTGTAAAGACGATGGAGGTAGCGATGCTTGTGGACCATATCAAATTCACGAAGATTATTGGATCGATGCCACGCCAAGCCCAGGAGGAGGCATGTCAATCTCAATCAGAAAGCCAGTTCTCTGTTAGCCATTTTTGTTTTACCCATGATTCAATGGGTCAAGAGTCATTTAGTACCAACTTTTTAAATACTATTCTATAATCAGACTGCTGTGCTACTGTTGTCATATCAGGCATATTTTCTTGAGATTTGTGGATTTTACAATTTTACTAAAATACTGATTCATGTATTATTACATGTCAACAAGCTCACAATATTAAACCCAACATTCGTTTGTTTATGTCTCCTTTCTCAGGAAAATGTGCGTGGCATGGTGCAAACAGCAACAAAGTAGGTAAACAGTGTTGGTACCAAATAACCTTCGACCTTCCATTGTATCATGGTTAAAACAAAATGTCAGTGTTTGAGTTTGTAGCTTTAGTTCTAGTTCACTGTGTAGTTGTTATGGGCATTTGTGTTGCTATGGGCCACAGTTATTACAATTCATCATAATGGAATGGCGTACATTACTGAGTTCACATGACGCATGCCAACCACCACAAAATGACCAAATTAATGCTCAATAGAGCCTCAAACCGAAATGTTAATGGATATCCCATTCAGTATGCAGTATGCAACACTCCTTTGCAGTTAAAGTTTGAATGGAATTCTCATGTGTATTTTTTCTGATAATTCAATTGAGTGTGTGATATACATTTGTTTGTACTTATTTTACCAACAAGATTTATTGACCAAAAAGATGGAAGAAGCATCGAGATATATAGATGATATGGCAAGACTATTAATGCTATTTCTAAAGATCCCGCGCCTACACGCAAAAAGTAATAGTTGACAAGCCTCGTGCGCCAAACTCCTGTTTCACGCTTTTTGAAAGTGTTTTATGACTACATTTCGAAAAACTAACAATGACGTCAAAGTGCTGATACATCAACCCAGCCATGGGCATTGTAGTTTAGTGCCATAACTTCAAAATCAATATTGTCACAGTCTCTAAAATTATCTTGATGTTTCCATGGACAGGGAATTATCTATTGAATGAACTACATTGGGACAACAAAAACAAACAGCTGTGACAGGAAACTGAATTGCTTCTGTCTAATCAGAATGTATCATCACATCTGCTGTAATGGACACCTGTTTGTATGATGTAACCGTCTGTCAAAAATGATATGTGTATATTCCATGACTATTTAGGCAACAAAAATGCAATCAGAAACTTTCCCGACTTTGATCGTTTTGAACATTAAGGTTGTGACCAATGTGACCCAAGGCCTCGTTTACTGGCATATATTTTCTACTTTATAGTTCACGGCCAGGCTATATGTGTATAATACTACAAATTACCACTGTCACAGAACGCTATAACAAAACCAGAATGACAGATCACTCACCATCAGTCCTCGCTAGCTACTCCGCCATCTTAGCCCCCGCCTGTGTGTTTTCATTCTGCCACAGAGGGCGCACCTCGTAAAACCACTTTTGCAAATTAATGTAAAAATAAATAATAAGAATTCATGACATCACTCCCCTTTCAAGAGGAAACTTATAAAGTTTCTGCACAGCACATTAATTCTGTTACATAGTCCTTAAACTGCTCTACTTAGAAATCAGCTCCATGGTTATCTGAGCCCTTAATACATTCAACGGTAAATCGGTAGTTCTGCAGAAACATTGC